TGAATGGGATTAATATGGGTATTAGTTGTAGTAGTATTGTAAATGCTCTTGTTACCAATATGAAGAAAACTGTAACAGGTCATACTGGTAGTCGGAGTAGTCGTAGAATTCGTAGTATTATTATTACTAGTAGTACTACTCTTGTTGGCAATAGTATGGAACTTATTGTTCGTAGTCTTACGCTTCTCCGTGTTAGTACTACTACTGATACTGATGTTGTTATTGTTCTGCGTATGTTTGTTCTAATGTTTCAAATTAGTCGTCCCCTCCATGTTCCTCCTCCTCCTACTCCTCCTCCTCCTCCTCCTCCTCCTCCTCCTCCTCCTCCTCCTCCTCCTCCTCCTCCTCCCCCCTCCCCCTCACCCTCACTCTCCCCCTCCCCCTCCCCCTCCTCCTCATCCTCCTGGAGCGCTCATAGGGGGCGTGATCCTCTACTCCTCCTCATCCTCCTCCCCCTCTTCCTCCTCCTCCTCCTCCGCCTCCGCCTCCTCCTCTTCCTCCTCCTCCTCCTCCTCCTCCTCGTCCTCCTCCTCCTCCTCCTCCCCCTCATCCTCCTCCTGTTCCTCCTCCGCCTCCTCCTCCTCCCTCACCCTTCCCCGCTGTCGTGCGGGTCGGCGATACAGCGCACGTGCGCATCCCAGCGTGCACCGCAAAATGGTCGATTGGATCAATCCACGTGGTTCTCGGACGGCCAATTTAGCTGGACCCTCCTGGACGCAGATGGGAGGGGTTGGGATGATGCGGGCGGACTCGGGGACTCGTAGACTCCAGCGGCGCTCCTTTGTCCAAAAGGACTCTTTCCCACTCATATATACGAGACTTTTTTCCGGTGGAATCCACAAGCGCTCCATTCTGTCTCAAGGATTCCTTCTAACATGATATTAACAACAGTGTTGATATGTTGCACATGGTTGAATGGGTGCACACAGGCACCGTGGTGTACACAGGCGCTGTAGTGCACACAGGCATTTTGGTGTACACTGGTGTTGTGTTGCGCACGGCGGATGTGGTGTACGCAGGCGCTGTGGTGTACACAAGCGCTGCGGTACCCGCAGGCACTGTGGCACACACTGGCGCTGTGTTGCACTCGGCTGCCGTGGTGTACGTAGGCGGTGTGGTGTACACAGGCGCTGTGGTGCACGCAGGCACTGTGGTGTACACAGGCGTTGTGGTGCAGATCGCCACCTACATGCTGCTCCTACCCGTCTTCGGTTATTCCTGAGCATTCCCAGACGCCGCCGGTGCGAAACATGACGTCATCGGCCCCCTCCACCCCCCGCCCAAATGATTGCCGTCATCGGCCCAGACTGCAAAAAGAGGGTCTAGCCGCGCCCGCGCGCACGACGACGATGAGCGACGAGCGACAACGACGAGGACGACGACGACGACGACGACGACGACGACGACGACGACGACGACGACGACGACGACGACGACGACGACGACTGGACCAGACTCCTATGCGGACTCCTACGCGGACACCTGTGCGGACACCTATGCGGATCCCGACGCGCACGGCGGCAGTGCCTGGAGCGCACTGGAGGGAGGGAGCGTTAGGTCATAGGGGGGGGGCGGGGCGGCGGGGGCCATGACGCCCGTCATGCCCCAAGTAACGAGGAACCACGCTCCTCCTGCTCTTTCTCCCTGGGGCCCAAAACGGCGGCCGGAGGAGCGGAAACGCCTCGCCCTGGGGACACGCTGGCCCCCGTTTCGGGCCGCGGCATAGAGCATCCCCCACCCCGCCGGCGCCGGCAAGGTGCCCTGGAGCCCCGGGATCGAGGAGGATCGGGGATCGAGGGCCGGGGATCGAGGATCGAGGATCTCGAGGATCAAGGATCTAGGATCGAGGATCGAGGATCTCAAGGATCAAGGATCTCGAGGATCGAGGATCGAGGATCGAGGAGGATCGGGGCCGAGGATCGAGGATCGAGGATCTCGAGGATCGAGGATCTCGAGGAGAGAGGATCGAGGGTCGGATCGAGGGTCGTTCGGGGATCGAGGATCGAGGATCGGGGATCGAAGATCGAGTATCGAGGACCTCGAGAACCTCGAGGATCGAGAATCGATGATCGAGCGTCGAGGGTCGAGAATCGGGGGTCGAGGATCGAGGATCGGGGATCGAGGATCGAGGAGCGGGGAGCGGGGATCGAGGATCGAGGGTCGAAGATCGAGGACCGAGGATCGAGTCTGCAGACCACGACGTAAAACGTTGTTCCTCACGGCAGTGGCGCCAGCGAAATCGTATGAGAGAAGCACAACCGGCAAAGGTGATCCCGAGGTGCACCCTGCCTCCCTCCCTCCCTCCCTCCCTCCCTCCGCACCGTTTGCCCAAATTCCCAGATCCCCCCCCCCCCCCCCCCAGAATGCGCTGCAGATCAAAGTCAACGCGTCTGAACACCTGAGCTTGGTGCGGTTTCGGTACGGAAATCGGGATGTCGACTTCTTGCTGCCTGAGACTGGCTTGACCCCTTTGGCCATGAGCTGAAGGGGCCCTGAGGGAAACGGATCCTATACAACCTGGGGTGGTCCCTGAACGTCCTCTCACCCTAGGGCGTCTCATGACGGTCTAAGGGGCGCAGGAAAGGCATCGATGAGCCAAGCATGACGAAAAAAAACTCGGGGAGTCTTTCCCTCGGAACCGCTTGAGCTCATAGTGATCCCAGCGTCCCCCCCGGACTCCTCCAGGTACGCGGCGCGCGGGGCTTCAAGCCCAGCCCTCTCGATCTGCCACAACGGCCACAAATGGCGCAGCTGAGGGCATGCGTCGATTATCTTCCTCCTGCCCCTACGCCCCCTCCTCCTTCTCCACCCCTTCCGCCTCCTCCTCCTTCTCCTCCTCATCGTCATCCTCCTTGTGTTCCTCCTCCTCCTCCTCGACCTCCTCCCCCTCTTCTTTCCATGTGTCTAATTCATCCTTCCTGCTCTTCCTCCCCGACCATCTCCCTTCCCCATCCCCATCCTTATCGGCATCCGCATCCTCACCCGCATCATCACTATACTCAGCATCATCACCATCATCATCGCCGTCGTTATCATCATCAGCATCAGCATCACCATCACCATCAGAGGCATCAGGAAGAGTGCTGCGCAAGCCCGTTGAAGTCGACGACAACGACGACGACGACGACGACGGCGGCGACGAGTGCGGCGGCGACGACGACGACGACGGCGGCGGCGGCGACGGCAACGACGACGATGCCTGGGAGGGGGGGGGGGGGGAACATCGCCTCGGCAATATACGTCCCCGATAACAACGTCCACACGAAAAAAATGTTTTAAGGCTGTCATGGGGGATACACGACCCCTCGTCGGCGCCCGCGACGACCCCCTGGCGCGCGTGATTGGAAAAATGTTTCGCGCACCGCGGGGTCTATTCATCAGCGCCCTGGGGGGTGGGGGGGGAACACCATGTTTAATCACAAGCTGACACTACCCTATTGTTACGCGCAGAGCTTGCATCATCCGACGGCGACGCGATACCTGAAAAGCGAACTGCTTGTGCCACGCCCTCGAGAATCCAGCCGGCCTCGCCTGCGGATGAACGGCTGCCTCGTATGGCTGCTTGTCCTCGCTGACTTCTGCTATCAAACATTCCAAGCGTGGCCTTGCAAAGCATCGTACGAAACATCGTCATGCTTCGTCTCCTGCCGGCCCTCGGCGTCGAAGCGTGCGCGGCGGACGAAAGGCTGTTCATGGGCATCCGCCGACCACCTGCTTGTGGGGCGCTTCCAGCGGCACGACGAACTCCACATCGCCTCTACACTCGAACGAACGGTTTCGCGACGAGTCGTGGGGCCCCAGTCCCGCGCGGCGGCGCTCCCGAATGTAGCCCAGAGCACCATGAGAAGGCAACCGCACCACGCGTGCATCGCATGCCCAATGCCTTGGGCGCAATCGCCTGCACCACGGCAGGCGCCTTCCCGGGGCGCCCAAGAGGGGGGCGTCCAAGAGAGGGGGGCGCAAATCATGGCCGGCGGCACGTGCGCGGCCCAGGGGGGTGCCGGGGACGCGCCATGAAGTCGGGGGAGATGTCATGGCCGCAACCATGATATCTACACCCCCTAGTCATCACCACCCTCTTTGCCGCCCCCGAGCCTTGGGAGCCACCACGACCTGTTGCACCTTCCTTGGCACCGTGGTACGCCGCTGGATGGTGTTCAGCTTGGTCTGCGAGGCCTTCTCGATGATCTTCGATGGCGTCGCGAACTCGTGCGAGGCGAGATAGAGCCTTGCCCTCACCACTCCAAACGACCTCGATCGCAACAGGCTCGCCGGACCATGACAAAAGCCCCCATGGCCGCGGGAACCATCACCGAGACGGCTTGAGCAATGCAGTTTTCGCTCGCTGTTGAGCGGCTGAACCCAAGATGGTTCCAGACTTCCTCCTCCTCCTCTTCCTCCTCCTCTTCCTCCTCCTCCTCCTCTTCCTCCTCCTCCTCTCCCTCCTCTATCTCCTCTACCTCTTCTACCTCCTCCACCGCCTCTACCTCATCTACTTCCACTATCTGTTCCTCATATTTCCCCTCCTCCTCTTCCTCCACCTCCTCCTCCTCCTTCTCCTCCTCCTCCTCCTCCTCCTCCTCCTCCTCCTCCTCCTCTTCCTCCTCCTCCTCCTCCTTCCTCCTCCTTCCTCCTCCTCCTCCTCCGCCTCCTCCTTTTCCTCCTCCTCGTCCTCTCCTCCTCCTCCTCTCCGCCTCTCCTCCTCCTCCTCCTCCCTCCATATCCTCCTACTCCTCCTCCTCCTCCTCCTCCTCCTCCCCTCCTCCTCCTCCTCCTCTCCTCCTCCTCCTCCTCCTCCTCCTTCTCCTCCCCCGCCTCCTCCCTGTCATCCCCGTTCCTCCTCCCCACATCCCCTTCCCTCTCCTCCTCCTCCTCTTCCTCCTCCTCTTCCTCCTCCACCTAAATATCCTCTAACTCCTCTACCTCCTCCTCCTCCTCCACCTCTTCCTCCTCCTCTTTTTCGTCCTCCTCCAAATCCTACTCTGCCCCTACCTTCCCCTCGCCCCCGAGCTATTCAGCGCCACCGCCCTCGCAAGCGCTATTGGCCGCGAGGCGCGGGAGCCCTCGCACTCGACCGGCACGCCAAACAAGCCCGCCGATGCACACACACACACACACACACACATCGATCGGACGTCCACTCCCCGTGTGTTGTTCGGATTCGTGCGCATTTTTTCGCGAGGCGGCCTCAAATAGCGGATTCTGGAAACCCTGAACCCAAAAGTGTTGTCATCTCTTGGGGGGCGCATTTCTTACTTCTGCCGCCTTCCGCCAGCCTTCCGCCGGCTTCCGCCGGCGGCGCCGCCCTTGTTTTACGTCCGCCGGCCTTCCGCCGCCCTGCCGCCGACCTCCGCCGAGGAAGAGGTGGCATCTTCTTCGAATCTCGAAGGCAAGGTCATTTCTGGAACGCTTCAAATGCTCCTCGATGGCCCCCACTGGAAAGATTCGAGTATGGGGATAGAATTATTTTACTATGTATATGTATATATATGTGTGTATGTATGTATGTATGTATGTATGTACATATATCTATATATATAAACTGTCCCGCCGAATCTTCTGATAAAAAATGACAGTTCTCAGTAGATGTGCGAACATTATGCGCATTCGTCGTGGATTCGATGGGGGGCATCAACTCTTTGGGGCCAATCCATGTTGCAGTTGATCCCCTACTCGAAAAATGTCCACGCCCGAGCGATGCCAACAAAGCCACCGCCGCCCTGAGGTCCGGCTAGGTTCCGAAGTCCAGTAGGTGAACGCTGAAGCGCCCGCTCTCGGCGTTGACCAGCTTGTAGCCGCACGCGCCCAGCTTGGCGCGATCCGCCACCTTCTTGTCCACGTCGATCATGGCGCCGCGTTGAGAGCCCGTGCTGATCAGCATCGGTGCGCCTTGGACGAACTCCACCGGCTCGATCGCGAACGGCTGCCCGCAGATGCCGGCAGGTAAATGCACGCGGCATCCGGCTTAGCCCCGCCGCGGGCTCCACGAAAAGGTGCGCCCTTGGGACGAGGATGGGACCTCGGACTCTTCCTGGGCAGGGCTCGTTCGCAGTCTATCCTCCAAGACCTGCCGTGCATCGTATCCGGGCACGCCTCGCCCAGAGACTGGTAGATATTTCCATATCACGCCGTTGGCCTCGGTCTCGTCCGTAGCGGGGGTCGATCATAAGAGCGCTGAAACCACCGCCGAGGATGTTGAGCGAGTCGTCGTAGACGCCCGCGCTCCACTCACCGATGGCAGTGGGCTAGATCAAGTACCGCGCCAGCCGATGCTGGCCCAGCTCGGGCTCGCCGCCCGGCGCCTCCTGCCCCATAGATCTCGCGATCACGTCGACGCCGTTGGCGACCGCGGACCGCCTCTCGGCGAACTCCGCATACGCGAAATCGAAGTACGCGCCCGTCTTGATCTTCTCGACGCCCTTCGGAGGGTCGTCGGCGTCGAGGCCGCCCGCGCCCAGGTCGAAGTCCGCCGGGCACGCCGCTTAGACCTCGTCGTCGCCCTCTTCGAGCCCCTCGGGCCCCACCGCGATCCGACCTCGAGCTCCTCCCCCAATCGGAGTCGGGCACCCTGGCTTCATACGCCACGCCCCCGGGCGGTGGAGCTGCCAAGCTCGACGGGCCCGCCGCCATGGGAGCCCTGGATGGCGCGGCAACGCCAGCTCCAGTGCCAGGGACGCCGATGCGCGACGGTTCCAGAAGCCGGCCTGGGCGCGAACCCTGTCGGTGGAACGCGCCCCAGACTCTCCGCCCCCTCAGCGCGTAGAACAGCGAGTACATCAGAACCTCCAGCGCCCCTGCCAACCCTTGCGCCCAGACCTAGGTCGACGCGCCCCGGCAACGTGGACGCGGCCCGGGTCGCGCACGCGGCGCGCGAAGCACCGCGCAACGCCGCTAGCGCCCTCGCGCAGCCTCGGGCGCGCGTCGACCGCGCGCCCGCGCGCTGGCAGGGACACTTCATGACGGGCAAGGGCCCGTGGCTCCGCCACGCAGGTGGCTCGTCGTAGACGTCAACCGTCGTCTTCCTCCTTCCTCGGATCGGGCTTCGGCTCGGGATTGGGCTTCGCCTTCGGTCGTGCCCCGAGCTGCCCACTGGATGCTGCAACGAACACCTCTGCAATCCTAACCTCGCCGCCGTTGCTCTTGCCACCGCAGTCGGCCACGCCGAAGTCCGCCGACCCCTTGTGGGTCTCTAGGCGTGTGAGATAGTTCCCCCCCCTATAGTCCCCCCCCAGGGACCCCAAACCGGCGATTTGACCCCCCCCCCCCGGGCCCGGGACGAGCGCCTCAGGCCCGGGACGAGGGCCCCCCCCGGGCCCGGGACGAGCGCCGCCGGGCCCGGGACGAGCGCCGCCGGGGCTTTGCCGGGTTCCAGGAAGCCTCAAGACGGGCCAAGATGGCCCCAAGAGGCGTTCAAAACGGCCCACGGGAGCTCCGAGACGCCAAACGAGCGCTCCAAGACGCCCAAGATGGCTCCAAGACGGGCTAAGAAGCCTCCAAGACGGCCCAAGAGGTCCCCAAGAAACCCCAAGACGCCTCCAAGATGCGTCCCACGAGGGTCCCTAGACGCAAAAATTGGCCCATTCCCCACGTAAAACGTACATTTTTCACGAATTCGCTTTTTTGGTTTTTCCGACGCTCCCAGACGGCCCCAGACGGCCCAAGAGGCCCTAAATACCGCCCCAAGACGGTCCAAGCAGCCTCCAGGGAAGCTCCAAGGCAGCCCAACAGAGCCCCAAGACAGCCCAAGAGGCGCCCAAGATTGCCCAAGAGGGCCCCGAAGACGGCCCCAAGAGCGCTCCAGGAGCGCTTCAAGTTGCCTCCAAGAGAGCTCAATATGGTCACAGACGGTCGAAGAGCGATCAAAGACACCGACGATCGCCTCCAGACGGCCCAGGACGGCCCCAAGAGGCCCCAAGAGGCCTCCAAGATGCGTCCCAGGAGGGCCCCTCGGCGCAAAAATTGGCCCGTTCCCTTCGTGAAACGTACTTTTTTCCACAAACTTTGCCTTTTCAGCTTTCCGACGCTCCCAGACGGCCCTGGAGGCCTCCAATACAGCCCCAAGGTAGCCCAGAGGCGTTCGAGCCGGGGTCATCCGAGCTCCGGTGGATCCCGGCTCGAACGCCGCCGGGGGGAGCAAAGGGCCCGAAAACGAACCAAGAGCGCACCAGAGCCCCCCCCCCCCAGGGCCCGGGACGAGCGCCGCCGGGCCCGGGACGAGCGCCGCCGGGGCTTTGCCGGGTTCCGGGAAGCCTCAAGACGGGCCAAGATGGCCCCAAGAGGCGTTCAAGACGGCCCACGGGAGCTCCGAGACGCCATGCCTCTCAATCTTTTCTTCTGGCACTTGCCACTGCGCTGTAACGCCTGGCAGCTACGAGCAGTGAAGGCGGAAACGCGGCGATAGCCGCCGGTACGAATCAAGGGGTCGGCGGATGTGGCGTGAGCCTGGAGAATAATTACTCTTCGGCACGCAGGAGGGAGATGGCGACGATCTCGACGACTTCGGGCAATTGGGATCTCCATGCCAATGTCCTATCTGCCCGCAACTCGCACACCTGGTCGTCCGCTTCAGCATCTCGACGCGGGCCCGTCGCTCTGGGTTCACGCCTGGGCCGTTCCTGGCTCGCCCCGTCGGTTTGCCCCTCGAGATTGCCGACTGAGATCGGTCTCCGCGACCGCGCCCGCGGCCTCGGCCACGTCCGCCGCCCCTGCCGCGGCACCTCTGCCAGCGCAGCACAATGGCCGCGAACCTCTCGAGCGCCTCGTCGCCCATGTGGTCGATATCCTCGAGCATCGCCTCGTCCTCGCCACGGTAGACCGCCTCGTAGTCGCTCCCCGCAGGTGACTGGGCGCCCCGGCAAGTCGAGGCTGCGCCGCCATCCTCGCGCTCGTACTCTCCCTCTTCGTCTCCGCCAGCCTGTTACGCTGACTTGTGCTGCTGACGTCCGCGGCGATGCCGCCGTTGACCGAACTGATGGGATCGAGGGCCCTGCCACTGGTCATTCTTGCCCTTCCAGCCTCGCACGTGGATGTTGGGATGCTGTATGCGGAGCGCCTTGCCGAAGGCCTCCTTGTCATGCGCGCTGCCAGCGCTGCCGACGATGCATGGCCGGACTTGAACTTCATGAATGATGGGCTTGCAAATCATTGATGATGTTCGACTCCTCGCTGGCCCTACTGAGGTCATCGAATGCCTTCGAGCGCCTGGTGATGCACTCCGGCATGCTGTCACCACGTGACCTCCAGACTGCTTTGTCGCACAGCGCACCGTCGAACAACTCAGCTGCGCGAGCAGGCCTCTTCCTCAGCACAAACTCGCCCAGGGTCGCGAGCAACAACTCAAGTCCCTCGGTGGTCGCCTTCTTCTTCTCGCAGCTGCCGCCGCCCTAGCCACCGTGCTCGATCGTCTCGACCTCGAAGGTGAACAGCTGCTGGTGCGAGAGCGATGGGACAGCGTCGCAGGCGGTGCCAGAGTCCGTTCCTGAGGTTGGTCGGCGTCGCTATTTGGTTTTCGTCACCCATGCGTCCGCAAAAAGCGTTTCGAGCCCTGTCTGGGACTTTCCAAATAGCGCAGGATCTCCGTCATAGAGCAGGATGTCCTTCTCGAACTCCAGCTTCGATACCCTTGACATGGTTGCTGCACGCGGGTCGCGGCCGCTGCCCTTGGATAGAATAGGAGTCGCAGCGGTACTGCTGCACGCCGCATGGAAACACGCAGGTGCCAGATATGCCTGACACCGCCCTGGTAGTCCAACTTGTGCGGGCTCGCCAACCCCCGGGCTGCCGGTCCGCTGCCTGCAGGCTGGCGCGCAGCCCCCGCCACGGCCCACGCACATCTCCGCGCGATCGCTGCGGAGGCGGGAACTGCCCGGGGCGAACCGGCCAGCTCCGCTACCAGTGGCGGGCCGCCGCCCGCCAGAAGCTTTCAGGTTTTCTGCAACCGTAAACTCAAAACCTCTGTGCACCGAAACGTCATGTCTGAGCGGATGAAGGCGGGCAGCGGCACGGGTGGGCTAAATGCAGGGATGATCGCTGGGGCACTTCAACAGAGGAGGAGGAGGAGGAGGAGGAGGAAGAGGAGGGAGGAGGGAGGAGGGAGGAGGGAGGAGGGAGGAGGGAGGAGGGAGGAGAGGAGGGAGGAGGAAGAGGAGGAAGAGGAGGAAGAGGAGGAAGAGGAGGAGGAGGAGGAGGAGAAGGAGGAGGAGGAGGAGGACAGAAGGAGGAAGACACTGGGGCTTCCCTGGAACCGGCTCTGCATCCTGGGCTTTCCGGGACCTTGGACGGGTCCTGGAGGCCGAGAGCCACGAGAAAAACCTCGGAGGGCCCTCCTCTCTCGGGAGCGCCGCTATTGGTCGCTACTGGGAGCCACTCGAGCGCTATTCCGCGCTACTACTGGGCGCTACAGGGCGCTCTTTGGCGGTCTACGACTGGCGGCATACACAGGGGGGTAGGGGGAAGGGGGAAGGCTTTTCAGAAGCAAGGGTGCTGCCAAGAAGCCTTCCACCATCCCCCTACCCCCCTCTGCGCGTGGCTGAGAGGGCTAGGTGGCGACATCCGAACCCTACCCAAGCCACCCATCGAACCGCCTGGATCGTTGATCGGCGAGGGCAGGGTTCGGATTTCGCCGACGAAGGACGGGAAGGAAGGCCCGAACACGAGGCGCGGCAATCATTAGCACTACAAAGAGGACGGCATAAACTGGGACATTCGCACGCCCGAGAAAACTGCGGCCGTGAGTTGAACCTGCTGGATCTGGCGAAGTCCTGGCTTGCTATGCCCAGGTTTTGTTTGGGCCCTGCCAGCGAGGCGAGGAATTATCATTCATCAATAATAATAACCACCACCTTGGGTTATGTTGTTCCCATCGTACTTAAGGACCACATCGCAGAAATATGTTCGAGCACCCAGAGAAGCATCGAAGAGTTTCGAAACAGTGTCGAAACAGTGTCGGACGAGTGTCTCCCACGACACGTGAAAACCCTCGAGTTTCGGTACCTTTGCTGGTGCTCGAAATTCGTCCTGGTGACAAAGGCTAAAGTAGGTTGGAACAGCATCAAGCTTGGGGATCGTCTGCGGTCGACAAGACTAGCGGAAGCTTCCATGATATATACGGTCTTGCCACGGTGGCTCGAGCAGGGGCAGTTTGGCGAGGCCAGCCTACGTGCGCCGGCCCCCGCGCCCGCCACCCCGCGAGGGAGGCGACTGCCTTCCGCGCGGCCCCGCGGCCAACTGCCGTCGGAGCCGCCACGCTGCCGGCGACCGCCCCGTGTGAAGAACAAAAGTCGGCATACACTGCGGATGTCCTCCTCCCCCTCCTCGTCCTTTTCCTCCTTTTCCTCCTCCTCCTCCTCCTGCTTTTCCTCCTCCTTTTCCTCCTTTTCCTCCTTTTCCTCCTCCTCCTCCTCCTCCTCCTCTCTCCTCCTCCTTCCTCCTCCTCCTTCTCCTCCTCCTCCTCCTCCTCCCTCCTCCTCTTTCCTCCCTCCTCCTCCTCCTCCTCCTCCTCCTCCTCCTCTCTCCTCCTCCTCCTCCTCCTCCTCCTACTTTTCCCTCCTCCTCTCTTTCCCTCCTCCCTCCCCTCCCGCCTCCCTCCTCCCTCCTCCCTCCTCCTCGTTTCCTCCTCCCTGGTGGGCGGCAGCACGCCCGTGACCTGCACTTGGGCGGCCCCCAGCGGCGGGGCACCGGGAGGAGGGGCAGAGGATTGCTCGGGGGTCCGCGCGGACTTCTTGGGTCGGCACCGGACCCCCCCCGCCTGGCGCGGGGAGCACGCCAGGGCGCCAGAGGCGCCGCCAGGGGGGCCCAGGCATCGATCCAAGCGAATCCCGCGGACCTCCGAGAAACTGTCTACGCCGCTTTTGTTTTTCGGCCACAGGGCCCGAGCTCAACAGTGTTGCTCGTTTTCCGTGTTGCGTTCCTCTCCCTTCGTGATGGTTTCGCCCTGCCTCTTGTTGCTGCGAAGCGACAGCAAAGCGAAAAGGATCCGCGGAGCTGCCCAAAAGCTCCGTTCAGCTCGAGCCCTGGTCGACCACGACTGGGCAGCCGTCGCAATTACACGGCGCGCCGGGCTCGCGGCGATCACTCGCCGTCCGCCGACGCGCTGGCCTCCGCCTCGGGGGGAGGGGAGCGAGGCTGCCGGGCCGCGCCGCGCCGCGCCGCGGGGGGGGGGGTCGCTGCCGGCGTCGGGGTCCGGCCCCGAGGCCTGGGATCCTGCGCTGGGATCTGCTCAGTGGCAACTCGTGGGAGCCTTCCATTTCACCTTGTCGGCTCTTGCGAATCGGCACTGAATCGACGATAATCGGCGCTAAATCGACGCCGGTCGACGCTAACCGACGCTAGGTCGGCGCTATCTCATCGACTCCCAGACGCTAGTCGATGCTAATCGACGCTACAGATATAATCCCACCAGCCTTTTGGGCGACAGGTGGTCTAAGGAGGGTCTCTTTCCTCTTCCACAACCCTTTTCCCTTCGGGGGGTGAATCCATCCCCCTCCCTCCCCTCCCTGACGTTTTTTGGGAGGGATCGCGAGGTGTCGGAGGTTCACTTTTCGGCCGTTGGGAGGGCCGCTATTTGCCACACCTCCCGAGGATCGTGGCCCACGAGGGGGTGACCTAAATCGAGTACCCCCCCGCTTTTGACCGGTCGCCTCCAAGATGGCCCCAAGGGGCGCTCCAGGACTCCCATGAGGCCCCCTAAGAAGGCACAAAGAGCGCCCCAAGAAGCTCCAAGAGGCCTCCAAAAGGCAGCCGAAAGGCCCCCAAGAGGTCCCTCCAGAAAGCCCAAGGTGACCTTCAAGATGGCTCAAGATAGCCCCAGCACGCCGTCAAAGCCGGCCTCCCTCGCTGTTTGACTGTGCGTGTCTCTTCCTCTCCCCCCGTCAGCTCTAATGGGCCTGGTGGGGATACTTTTTCGGTCGCGAGCGAGAGCGCAGGCGGAGTCAGAGGCTGTCTGGGGCGCGGAAACGGGCCTAATTAGCTACTGGGCGCGCAGCGGGCCGGCCAGGCCAGCTCACAACGCCGCTGCTGCGCCGCTGAGACTGGCAGGCTGAGGACACCCAGGGAAGCTCGGGCAACGTGCAGTCTGACAAAATGCCAGAAAAAACTATGTACGCCCTCACACGCCTGGAGGACGCACAGGCGAGGTGAACGATGAACGAGTCGCCAGCGGGACCTGGTGGGGGATACTTTTTTGATCTGCGGCTCCAAGGACGATTCCAGAGAGCGGACAGTATCGAGCATGAGGTGACACGCCACAGAATTACCGGCGGGCCAGAAGCCAGCGCCGAGGTGCAAGCGAGAGCACGAGTGAACACGCCAGACAATTAAGAAGGACACAAAACAGAGAGCGGGCGAGCCAGCAAGGGGAGAGCAGATAGTTACCAGCGGGCCAAAAGCCAGCGCTGAAGTGCAAGCAGGAGCATGATAAACACGCCAAATAATAAGAGGAGCACAGCAGCAGGAGCGGGACGGCGGCGGCGGAAGGACGCACAGCGGCGCCAGCTCCCAGGCGCAGGCCAGCGAAAGACCGGGGGGAACCCGGCGGGGGGGGCGGCGACGCGGGCCGGAAAGGACCGAGCGGGAAGATACCCGCGGGCCCAAACCCAGCGCGAGGAGACGCGGACGGGCGAGAATATCACCAGCAGGCCAAGAGCCAACGCCGGAAGTAAGCCACACCCTCACTCACGGAGCAACTGAGGCTCATGGACCGTTGCGCGTCACCAGGATGAGAGCACCTTAGCACGGCCACAGAGGGGGGCCGTGCGCCTGCCAGCTGACAGCGCCACGTGTAGGTGGGCACAGGCGGGCAGACCGAGCCCGAAACCGACGCCCGAGAAGTAGCCGTCGTCAGCGCCTGCCGATGGGGGGTGCCACAGCAGATGTGTAGGGTGGAACGATGGGGCGGGCCTTAGGCCGATGCACCCATGCGCTCGGACGCCCGGGCGGGCAAGGTGGGCCCAATCACGAGAGCCAGGCCAAATCCCAACGCGTGCGTGGATGATTTCAGCCAGCGTCACACGGGCTAAGTCACGGTGCGCCGTGAAAGAAAAGCCGCAACCAAGTCATAGCAGCACCCCGCGTGCTGAGGGGACTGCAATGTGGGCCACGATCTGTCGCTAAGATGAGGTCAGCTACGCCGAAGGCCCAGCTGTGGTTGTGGAACGAAGGGGCAGGCCTGAGGCCGACGCACCCAGCCGCTCAAACGCCCGGGCGGGCCGGGCGGGCCCATGCTCGCGCGCGCGTGGCCAAATCACACCGCGAGCGGGAATTATTGCAGCCGCCGTCACACGGGCTAAGCCACGGTATACCGTGGAAAGCAAAACGCAACATCCCGATGGCATCCCGCTTCCAGGGGAGGAAGGTAGGGAGAGCCACAACATGTCACTGAGGTGAAACAGTCACGACGGGCGCCCATCTGTGAATGCGGATGGGAGGAGGGGGGGGGGGGGGGCGCAGCCGATAGCCGCAGGTCAAGCGAATACGCGGGAAACGCTGAGGGCCCAGCGCTCATCAACAGTCGTATACGAACTCCGCGAGGTCGGGAACGTCACCAGGTCGCTGCTGTGAGAAGTAAGGTCGATGCTGTCAGAAGCGCAGGTAGTGGAGCGAGAGGGGGGGTACCATCGCCCTGTAGCCCCCGCCGCCCCAAGTGGGTGCGCGGCTGGCACCATGGGCCCACGTGGAGGAGAGCCCAAATGAACCGTGCGCCGGCAATGCGTCGTCCGCACCAACACGGGCTAGAGACCACGCTGGGCCGGGGGAGTCTAGATGCAGCGGGAGCGGTGCACCTCGTTCCCGAGAGGTGGCACGAATGTATCAAGGCCGGAGCCTGCCACTGCGGTGAAACCAGCCCCTGCTGCACAGGGGCTATCCGCGGAAGGGGCCTGCGGGGACAGCCCCTGCAGCAACTGTATCCTCTTGACCTCTGCCCCTGCGTGCGGCGAAGGGGCGGTGGAGGACCAACGGACTGCCGACCCGCTGGGCCCCACAAGGCGCATCTGGGGACCAGGTGGCCCACAGTGTCAGCGCAATGGAGACAAGCCCGTATACGGAGGTGGAAGCAGTCCCCAACTGTCCGAAGTCATTGTCGTCGAGAAAGCATGCGCGGCGCTCTGATACGGGATGAGTGGCGACCCGAACAATGGGCATGACTAAGGGGGAAAGGCCTTGAGCCGCAGATGAGCTGCAGGACAGCGAGGAACTCTCTCCGTCTGTCCCCCGTGGAGGTGCTGCCAACCTGGGCCTGGGGAGAGGCGGCGCTCCGCCAGGGTGAGGCTGTCAGGTCCATCTGCGGGCGGGGTCCCATCCGCGCTGCCGTTCGTCAGCGTACTGAGCGTCTCCTCTGGGGGTCGACCGTTTCTCCCTGGTCCTCCAGTCGGAGCTGGACCAGGTGTCCTGGCGGTGGTCCAATCCTTCCCATGCCTGCCAGGCCTCCCATCGGGCTGCGGCACTGGGTGGGATTGCCTGCTCGGCGACCCTGTAGTCTGTGTACACCGGGGGGGAGCAGGCGGCCTCCTTGGGTTTGCTCCATGGGTGCCGTCGTTCATCCCTGGTGGGTTCGCTTGAGGCAGCCCATAGCGTGGACCCCCTGTCGTCTGAGGAGGCTGAGGGGGGACAAGCCGCCGCCTTGCTGCTGTCTGCCCATGGGTATGGGCGTGCGCCACCCTTGTGGCCGTCGTGGTGCGTCCTGGTGTTACGCTGTAGCTGCTTGCGATGTCTGTCCGTAGTGCTTGGCCAGTCTACGCCGAGCTGGTGTTCGTCGTCCACCCTGTAGGCGTCGAAGCCCGCTTTGCCCCATGCCTGGAGAAAGTCCTCGCAGACCTGCACGGAGTTCTTCTTGGGGTCGGACTTGACGCTGACCCATGGGCCCCCTTGATTGCTGACTGACTTACGGACCCAGGCGGGCCAAATCCCGTTGAAGGCTCCTCCCAGCGTCCTCTGCAGTCGGCTGATATTGTCCTGCGCTGGCTCTTCCTTGGGCTCTGCTTCGCTGATGGAGCTCAGATACATGGGGAGACCGCACATGAGGTCGTCAGGGCGCGCCTGTGGAATGGATGCGATTTGTGGCTCACTTCCTCGACCAGTGCTGCGCTGTTGCCAGGAAGCTGGGGGGCTCAGTGGCGGGCGCTCTGTGTGGCTGAGCGCGGCGTTCTCGTGAATTGAAAAACTGGTGGGGGATACTTTTTGATTTGCGGCCCGCAAGGAGAAGTCCAGAGGGCGTGTCACTAGGCAATGGGGCGCAATGCCAGAAGATTAGGGATGCAGAGGACCACTGGGTGAATGCCAGCGGAAGCCAACGAGCAGACGCCCTGACAACGCCAGCTCGCAGACTGTGCACAAGCCAGGACCCACAGGTGGGGAAACCTCTGGTGGGGGATACGCGAAGCGTCAGGAATCAATGGGGTATACCAGGCTCCCATGATTTGCCACCGAAGATCCGGGACCGGGGCCCTGAGTCGGCGGCGAGCGAGGGGGGAAGTGGAAGGAGAATGCCATCCCAGAAGGCGGCGGGCCTCCTCAGTTTTCTGCGTCTTCGGGGAAGGCTCTGAAAACTACTCGGAAGGCCCGGGGACTTCCGAGCCTTCTGAGAAGGCCCGCCCCGTCTGACTTCCCCCGTGCGCTCGCCGCCGACTGAGGGGCAAAGATACAGTCAACGCGCATGACAAAGACGCACGAGGAGGACGCAAGGGCCCCGGAAGGCCACGTCGGCACTTTGCGAGCGGGGCGCGGCCAGCGAGAGCGGCCAAGGAGGGGCCGAAGGGGGAAGAAGTGTGCAAGAGGGCAGTCTTGGGAAGTGGCTCATCCTTACTGTGCGGCTTGACTGCACAGGTCCGCGAGGCCGAGCCCGGGCATGCCGACCTAGTTTCTGTTGAACTCCCTGTAAGGGGAAGGGGGGACTGGCACGGGTGGTGGGGGGGGAGCATCGCCCTGGAATCGGCGATGCGTCGCCAAGAGGTCGGAGATGGGCCCTAGTCAGGGGAGCAAAAAATGGCATAAACATAAAAACTCGGGGGTCCGCGCGGATGTCTTGGATCCGCGCTGGACCCCCCTCCCTGGCGCGCGGAGCGCGCCAGGGGCGGCGCCGGAGGCGCCGCTGGGGGGCTCCAGCGCGG